CAGCTAGTTGTCTCACATTTTATACTCCTCCTCCTCCTACTCTCTAGATCAATGACATCGAAAGAGAATATATTTGCTGATCAAGTTTGGTCATTCCCAGCTATATCATAATAAATTAGTTAGGAAAATGGCAGTAGGAAATTTAAGTTCTTGACAACATTTTCCCTGTGGTACCTTGTTGTTTGCTTTTTTTTTTTGGAGGTGTTGATTGCAAGTTTCAATAAGATAGTTTGTGAGATTCGTAAATCTTTTTCGTTTAAATGATAATTTTTTATTTAAATTCCTAAAACATTTCTTGCCTAACTTTGGCACTGGCATGCATGCTATGTTTTCAATCATTTATAAAATGTATAGCATTTAACAATCATAATGCTGGTTGCCTCTATTTACTGTGTCCCTTTTTTTTTTCTTATACAGGTCCAATTAGACGTGTGACATCAACAAACTTGAAGTACTTAAACTTGTCACACAATAGTCTTCAGGGAACTTTACCAATCACTTTTGGAAGCTGTTCAGTAGTTGATCTGAGTGGAAACATGTTATATGGGAACTTATCAGTTGTCTTAACATGGGGAAATTATCTCCAGATGGTTGATCTGAGCTCAAACAGATTAACAGGAAGTTGGCCAAATGAGACAACCCAGTTTTTGAGGCTGACATCTTTGAGGATTTCCAACAACTTGTTATCAGGAGAACTGCCAATTGTTCTTGGAACCTATCCAGAGCTGATTTCCATTGACCTCAGTCTTAATGAGCTGCATGGACCTTTGCCTGGAAGTCTGTTTACGGCGGTTAAGCTGACTTTTCTAAATCTTTCAGGCAACAGTTTTGCAGGGACTCTCCCGCTTCGAAATTCTGATACCAAGAACTCGACTTCTATAGACTTGTCCATTCTTCCTGTGCAAACTTCAAACCTCTCATATGTTGATCTTTCAAGCAATTTTTTGAATGGCTGGCTGCCAGTGGGTATTGGTGATTTGAGTGCATTGACATTGCTGAACCTTCGTCAGAACAACTTTACTGGCCAAATCCCAAGAGCAATCACCAAACTGAAGAATTTATTATTCATTGACTTATCAAGCAACAATTTCAATGGTAGCATACCTGATGGCCTCCCTGATGATCTGGTTGAATTTAATGTTTCCTACAACAACCTGTCTGGCTCTGTTCCAAGTAATTTGTTGAAATTCCCAGATTCATCTTTCCATCCAGGGAATGAATTACTTGTTCTTCCTCTCTCCGAATCACCAAATGGCTCTGACAAATCAGATGAAGGCAGACACGGCTTGAAGCGTGGGATTCTATATGCATTGATTATCTCTGTCGTTGTATTTGTTACTGGGATTATTGTGCTTTTGCTTGTTCATTGGAAGATCAATATCTGGAAGAGTAGCGATAAAGGTACTGGCCAAGGTAAACAAAATGTGAATCAAGGCCAGAGTGCTCAGAGTCAGAGAAGTGCAGAAACTTCAACAAGTGGAGTGCAAGATGTAACATTAGGATCGTTACCTTCTGCAGAGTATGGAGCTGTTCCATTGCCTGGCAAGGAAAGACAGCATGAAGCCCAAGATGTGCCAATTGATGCTGCTTATTTCAATGAACCAGCAGGTAGTAGCTCAGCCATTAAAGACAGCACAAAGTCTTCGATGCCTTCTTTGTCATCGTCACCTCCTGATGCGCACTCCCAGCATCATCACTGTATCCTTAGAGTGCACTCTCCTGATAAACTGGTTGGGGATTTACATCTTTTCGACAATTCAGTTGTGTTCACGGCTGAAGAGCTCTCTCGTGCCCCTGCCGAGATAATTGGCAGGAGCTGCCATGGGACATCCTACAGGGCTACTCTTGACAATGGGCACATGCTGACAGTGAAGTGGCTGAAGGAGGGCTTTGCTAAGAGTAAGAAAGAATTTTCCCGTGAAATAAAGAAGCTTGGTAGTGTACAACATCCCAATCTTGTCCCGTTGCGTGGTTACTACTGGGGCCCCAAAGAGCACGAGAGGATCATGATATCAGACTATGTAGATGCGACATCTCTGTCTACCTACTTGTCTGGTAAGATGGTTCCTTTCCTTCACCCCTTTACTCAACATTTTCTGTTTCGTGCTCAATATGGACGTTTTCTGATGCATATTTCTTTCTAGAATTTGATGAGCGGAATCTCCCACCCCTATCAGTTGGACAGCGGCTAAATATTGCGATCGATATTGCCCGCTGTCTAGATTACCTGCACAATGAGCGGGTGATTCCACATGGCAACATCAAGTCGCCTAACGTCCTGATTCAGAACTCCACTCCATCTGCTCTGGTAACTGACTACAGCCTTCACAGGCTGATGACTCCGATTGGCATGGCCGAGCAGGTCCTAAACGCTGGTGCCCTAGGATATTCCCCACCTGAGTTTTCAAGCACCAGCAAGCCATGCCCATCTCTGAAGAGCGATGTACGCTTTTGGTGTCATTCTGCTGGAGTTGCTGACAGGGAAGATTGCTGGTGAGATCATCTGCATGAACGACGGCGTGGTCGACCTGACCGACTGGGTGAGGATGCTGGCTCTGGAGGAGCGTGTCTCAGAGTGCTATGACCGCACATCACGGATGTTGAGAGCTCGGAAGGCACCCCGAATGCGCTGGATGGCATGCTGCGCATAGCGATCCGGTGTCTCCGGTCCGCATCCGAGAGGCCGGAGATCCGAACAGTGTTTGAGGATCTCTTGTCCCTATCGTCGTGACCGTAGTTCTTGATAGTGTACATCTCGTACTTACATGAGCTTGTGGAAACTTGGAGGGTATACTAACAATTGCTAGGATTTTGGGGTGATGTGTGTGTAGTCTCCTTGAGAATTCATTGTTTGGGTCGCTCTTTCTGGGAATAGTTGATTCGTTTTTACCTAGTTCACAATTTTAGCAGTAGATGATTGCGAGAATAAGTTTGTGCATTGTGATTTCAGACATCAAAAAGGAAAATAAAGAAAGTCTTATTGATTTTTTGCTCTCCCGTGGTATGTATTCGTATGTAACAGTAATCAAATCCCCAAATATTTACAGTTAGATATTCCAAGATTCTCTTTCAGAGCATGAACTTGTAATTCAGAAGCCAGCGCCTTTTGTGAATATAATATATTTCTGACCTGGAGCCTTCAGCAGAGGGCATATCATCTTAATAATGTTGCTTGATGCTTCCATGTATCATCTTAATAATGTTGCTTGATGCTTCCATGTATCTGATTCTTACAGAAACGGGCGATTCTTGCTTCACACATAATCAAGGCCGGAGAGGAATGCAGCAAGAAGATATGCTTTTTCAACAGAGAGAGGGAGGTTGGCAAAATCACTGCCCATTTTCGAATTTGCTGAGAGGATCGCATCGAGTCTTTCTAGGAGCTTTGTTCCTAGATGTTGCTAAAGGGCTCTGCTCCCTGAGTCCCAAAATATCTGTCGTTCTCGCTTCCTAAGAAATAACTTTGACTAATTTTAAATAAAAAATATTAATATTTATGATATATAATTAGTATCATTAGATATGTCTTTAATTTTATTTTCATAATAAATTTATTTGGAGATACAAATGTTGCATGTATTTTCTACAAATCTAGTTAAACTTGTGGCACGGAAAAAAAGTGACAAATAATATGGGACCGAGGGAGCAGGTACATTGAGTTGATAGTGCCAAGATGAAGCTCTATATCATCCATGAGTAGCCTACCTGGTCGATGAGATTGGATAGGCTTAGTTTTCTATGGAGCCCGAGCCTAGGGCTTTAGGTTGGACCAGAGGGCTTGTTGTTGGTGAAGCTCATTATCCTTTCTTCATCTTCTCCACCAAGCTAGAGGGTGGGAGGCCCTCTAAGCTCAAACCATGTCCATGGGGAAGACCTTGGGGCTCCTTCCATCAGCTTGGTGGTCTTCTTGGCGAGGGGAAAGACATGTGGACGCCTCGGATGTACGTCATTCTCAAACGATCCATTTCTAAAAGCTTCTCTTCGTACATACTCTGTCTTTTTTTTTTTAATTTTGTCGCTCTCACTTTTCGAAAAAGCAAACATACTCAACTTTGATCAATTATATAAAAAATATTAATATCTATAGTACATAATTAGTATCATTAGGTAGATTGTTGAATCTATTTTCTTAATAAACATATTTAAAAATATAAATGTTGATAACATTTTCTATAAATCTAGTAAAATTTAAGAAAATTTGGCTGACGTGAGTATCGTAGCGACAGATAAAAAGGGTAAGAGGGACTACACACTCACCCTCTCCCCCGAGGGATGCAGCTGATCGCCTCTGTGTCCAAGGCATTTTACATATCACTGAAAAAAACATTTAGCCAAAAATAGAAACGATTGTGTTATTACTTTGTGGTACGAATCTCATACTGTACATTCTACCATAACAAATTTAACCAATTGAGCTCCGTCTGTGGTCAAACGGTTTCCAAATATAACGAATTCATATTCATAGGGATATATAAAAAATTAAAAATTACTGAAATATGCAGAAAAGAAAAATCCCTTGAAACCTTTGGACATTGCTGCCTAGACAAGTAGACAAACGATCCGTATCTGTCGCATGGTAATATTCGCCCTTGTTCTTGAGAACACGCAAAGGCGCAAAGCCATACTCAAATTCGTTAAAAAAAATACAAAAACGATTGCTCACGTTCAGCTCGTTTATCCCTGGAAGGCTGGAATACGTCAATTTCGCGGCAGACACCCTCAAAACCCCCCACAAACCCCCTTGGGCCTTCGCCACCGGCCATCCTTTCCTTTCTTTCCTACTCCAATCCGGCAATCCCCCGCACCCTCCAGGAGTCCGGGCTCCGGCCTCCGCCCCTCCACCGCTCCACCCTCTTGTCCCCGGAACCTTCTCGATGCTTCTCTCGCGAAGGTTCTCCTGCGCCCTCGCCCGCGCCCCTTCTCTCGTACGGGGCCGGCCCCTTCCTCCTTGCGCCGCCCGCACCACCCCTCCGGCCCCCCGCCCCCCGCCCCGCCGCCTCATGTCTTCCTCCTCCGCCGGGTGGCAGCACTCCTCGCACCGCCCCCCGCCGCCGCCTCCTCCTCCTCCTCCTCCTCATCTCGGCGCTGACAAGGTATTTGGGTCACATGCTTAGATTATTGACAGTTTTGCCCCTTGGACCGCCTAAGCGCCTTGCGTCCTGTCCTGTGCCACTGCACTGCAGGACCAGCTGTTCAGGGGGCTGGAGGCGGCGCTGGGCACCACGTTCAGCTCCGAGCCGCTGGCGCCGCCGCCGCAGCCGATGATCCTCGTCATCAGCGGGCCCAGCGGTGTCGGCAAGGACGCCGTTATCAAGGTCACACTTCATTGCGATCCCTAATCCCACTCACCTTTGCTGCGGGCCATTGGTTTCTGATTGGCTTTACAATGTCGGGTATGGGTTGTTCTGCAGAGGCTGCAGGAGGAGAGGGAAGGGATCCATTTCGTTGTCACCGCAACGAGCAGGGCGATGAGGCCAGGTGAAGTTGACGGGAAAGACTATTACTTTGTCAGTAAGGAGGAATTCCTGACGATGACTGAGAGGGAGGAATTGCTTGAGTATGCACTTGTTTATGGGGAGTACAAGGGGATCCCCAAACAGCAGGTATTTGATCGTGGTTATATCATTACCTGTTTGCATCAGGACGATTTCTTGCCTGCAGATTGGTGTGCATACACATGCTGGATAAGTTAAGATTTAGGAAAAGCAGTACCTAACGGTTTACGATTACCATATGCACTAACAATGGTTTACTTATGCACTTATGATGTTATGACTATTCAGTACGAACAACTCAATCTTCTGTATCATTGCGGAAAAATGTGTTATGGCCTTGTGGGTATGAGTGGTGTGGCTGGAATTTTGCCAATGGCACTGCAGACCTAAGTGATGTGAATAACCATAGAAGTTAGAAATTCAGTGGAGAAACCATCATATCGCTATCAATTTTTTTGCCCCAAAAATTAAATACACACGAATTTGTACTGTTGACCTAATGCCTGGTAAAAATCAACTTATATCACACAATAATTAAAGACCGTAAACATTGCCTGGTAAAAACTTGTTCCATTATCTTTATCTGCTTGATGCGTTGCTACTTGCTAGGTTTGTTTAGTGCTTTATATACAGGGATAGTTACAGTATATTTCAGAGCTGTCTAGATTAAAATATTCTTATGGCTTACCCAAGCTCATCCCATAAAAACCAAGAAAAGGGCACTCCACTTTATATGCGAAGCAGAGCAGTTCAAAGTTCAAGCCATGTAGGTCACAAATATCACTACAGTAGAATATGTTTGCAAATGTCAGCTGCCTTATTTGCTACATATGTCAAGTGAGTTATGGGGTACAGCAGGGAATACCATACCATGACTTGAGCATGCTGGTGACTAGTACATGTGCAATGTGTTTAATCTGCTGTTTGATTTTTGCCTACTATAAACTGATCACTTGGAAGGGCGGGCCTGGTGCAAGCGGTAGAGTCTTACTTTGTGACCGGAAGGTCCCGGTTCGAGTCATGGTCTCCTCGCATTGCACAAAGTGCGGGGTAAGGCTTGCCACCGACACCCTTCCCTGCACTCGCATTGAGCGGGAGCTCTTTGCACTGGGTATGCCCCTTATAAACTGATCACTTGAATTTGATCTATGGTGCTTGATTGAAGGTTCAAAAATCTCAATGTGTTATAGAGTATTGCTTTAGTTCTATGGATTTCTGCAAAAATGTTGCTTACTGGCTTTCTAGTTTCACTGTCTCTAGCATTCTGTAGTGCTGTGTGTCGTTTACTCACTTTACTCAGTTTCAGTTACATCGACTTGATTGAAAGAATCTGCTAACATGTATTGACGTTAATTTCATAGGACTCCCTAGAAATGAAATGAAAATTGTGTATTTTGGGTTAAAAACCACAATGGACTGAATGCAGTCCACCTACATATTAGAGCCAAAGAAATTATGTATGTATTTTGGGGTAAAATTCTAGACATGTCTGAAGAAGTGGTCCTTTTTTTGTGCGAAAACTGAAGACATGGTCTACCTACAAAAATTTCTCATACATGTTCTGTTTTTCATCTAGATTCGTGACTACATGGCTAAAGGCTGTGACATTGTTCTGAGAGTGGACATTCAAGGAGCATCAACTTTAAGACAGATACTTGGTGAATCTGCAGTTTTCATATTTTTAGTTGCTGAGAGTGAAGAGGCACTTGTTAAAAGGCTAATCCACCGTAAAACAGAAACATCAGATATGCTTCTTGTCAGAGTTGCAACAGCCAGGGAGGAGGTGAAACGCATGAAGAATTTCGACTATGTGGTTGTAAACGCTGAAGGGAAACTTGAGGAGGCTGTTAAACAAGTGGAGTCTATCATTGATGCTGAGAAGGCTAAAATTCACAAGCGGCATGTCAATATCTAAGCTAAAAATCATGTGATTTATGCCTAGTGTCTTCATCTGTTTGAAGGAAATTATCTGTCCAAGTTTGCTGAAGTGTGAAGAAATGACTTTCAGGTTTCAGTAGCCAGAAAGTTCAATGGATTGCTGACATGTTCTATTTAAGGAATTTCCCTGACCACAACCAGGGCAGTGCACACTCTCTGGGACATATACACGATTCTCTTGTTATTTGCCTCTCTTTTTTTCCTTTGATTTTTAGTTCTGAAGGGAAGATCTGAAGGGCTGTACCAAACTAGTTCTGGGTGAATCTTAAGTGATGGACTATCCTTCTCAATTTCGTACTGACTAGTGTTGTTGGGCATGCTCAAGAAATTTTTTTGAATGTCGCATGCTCAAGAAATCTGTGCCCCAAATAGCAAAATTGCTAGTTTGGCTGCAAATTGAATTGCCTTGTTTTTTCCCAGTGCCAGAATAGGTGTTGCTGGAATTCTTCCTCTTGCTCAATGTGCTCTTAATGAAGTCTTTCATATCTGTTGGGAACTTTTGTTTTTGTGTGCGGGTGCGTGCGGAATACTGTAAACCATGTTTGCGCTGTTTAAGCATCTGGTACTATGTTGCAGCTGATTTTCGACATCATCGCTTGTGATTTGCAACATTAGTTTAAATACAGAATTGCTATCTTGTGCCTGGTTGTTTCATCCGGCCCCAGCACCCGGATTTCTGGCCGTGCGATCGCATCAGCAGGCAGGCGTGGCAGGCGTGGGGACCGGTAGATGCATTGCAGTCTTGCAGAGGGAGAAGGGTGAAAGGATAAAGATGCCCAAGAGCAGGGAGTGAATTGGGTTAATTCTAAAATTCTTTACAATAATTAAATTCTACACTTAGCCCACTTCACCCATTGTGACTAGAAAGTGTTTCTAATGTTCTACCGCATAAAAGTTTTACAACATAAGTTTCAATCCTACTCTAGTATGATAATTCTAAAAATGTAAAGACAATAATTGAATTGTTTAAAGTAAATGCTTAGAGTAAAGAGAGAAGGAAGAACACGATGATGTTTTACCAAGGTATCGGAGAGTTGTCACTCCCCACTAGTCCTCGTTGGAGCACCCGCGCAAGGGTGTAACCCTCCCTTGATCCGTGCAAGGATCAAGTGCTCTCTACGGGTTGATTCTTCGACACTCCGTCGCGGTGAATCACTCACAACCGCTCACAACTTGAGTTGGGTCATCCACAAGCTCCACCGGATGATCACCAAACTCTCAATCACCACCAAGCCGTCTAGGTGATGGCGATCACCAAGAGTAACAAGAAAGAACTCTCACTTGACCACAACAAGCCTAATGAGAAGGGTGGATGCACACTTGCTACTCTCTTTTCACTAATGAGGCTTCTCTCTTGGATTCTTAAATCTCAATCACCTCACTAGGACCTTGCTCTCCTTGACACTCTCAAGGGTGTTTCTCAGCTGTTGAAATGAGCAAAAGTCATCCCTTGAGTGAATAGAGGAACTATTTATAACTCCTCATTCAAAACAAACCATTATGTGCCTCTGCGGGGTGACCGGACGCTCCGGTCAGTTCCCCCGCCACTGAGCCATTAAGTTGTGGACGGGACTCGACCAAATCTCGGTCAAGATCGACTGTGACGCGTCCGGTCACAAAAACTGTTCTCTGGAACCTTACTAATGTTGACCGGACACTGGCACCCAGTGTCCGGTTACTTTACTGATCAGCGTCCGGTCAGTAGCCGGAACCTAACCAGCATCCGGTCAGCACTAACCGGACGCGTCCAATCATGATTCTCCCTCTCTGGAACCTTACTGGAGTTGACCGAACTCTGGCACCCAGCGTCCGGTCATATTTCACTCAGCGTCCGGTCGCATCCAGACGACTTCACCTTGATAAAATGAATTGACCGGACTCTGCGGCCAAAGTTCGGTCCACACCGAACCAAATATCCGGCCAACATTTAACCCTCCATTCACTTTCAACTCGTAATCGTATGTGAATGAAATTTACTCCAATTGATCTTAGGGCTACTTAGGAGCTACCTAGAGCTAGATTTGACAAGTGTGCACCTCACCTAACCCACTAGAGTCATCTAGGTCAAGCTACTAGTCTATACCCCCCTTAATAGTACGGCCAAAGCAAAAAATAAGATCCTAAATTACTCTAAGTGTCTCTTCAACACCAAACGATATTTAGAACTAGTCCATCCTTAACCTTATCGTCCATCCTTTGAAAACCGAAACGATTTCCATCGTATGGGCATGGCAACCATGATTGCCCAATCAATTGCCATTACCATGACCTAACTTAATTGCATCTGCAAAATACACGTTAGTTATAGTAATCACGTATTGTCATTAATCACTGAAATCCAACTAGGGACCTAGATGCTTTCAAAGGGCAACCGCATGCAGCCGCGCGTCAAGAGGCAGGCGTGGGGACCGGTTTAGCTTGCACAGAGAGAGAGGAAGGGTGTGGGGCCCATGCGTATGCGCATCAGTAGGCAGGCGGCGCATGCAGCTGCTGTAGAGGAAACGCATAAGTTATCGCTGTAGAGGAAACGCAAAGGCCCCGTTCGGCTTGCTGAAACTTGGCTGAAAACACTGTTCTGGCTGAATTGTTGTGAGAAAAAAATATTGTTCCGACTGAAAAAACAAGCTGAATAGTGCATATTATAAGGTAAGCCGAACGGAGCCAAAAAGCCGATAAAGATGCTAACAACCAGGCCACACCCAGAGGCCTATGCTGGTACTTTTTTTTTTCTTTTGTTGTTATTTTGTATTTTTCTTTTCATTTTGTCTAATTTTGTTTTTAGTTTATTTTTGTCAATTTCAGTTTTATTTATTGCTTATCGATTTCAGTTTCATTATTTTAGTTTTTTTATTCAGTTATTTGAGTTTGTTTTCTTTTTTTCCAGTTTTCAGTCAAATTTTTTATTTTTTAGTTTCAGTTTTCAGTCAAAAATTTTTAATGTTTTTTTAATTTTATATAGGATAGTGTAAGCGCAACATTTAGTTGCTGCCCTTTAATAAATGTGGTCAGATTTAGTAACTTTCAGTTGTCAGATTGAATGCCGATGTGTTTATTTGTCTGTAGTTTTGTTTAACCGTTGGATCTACATCATAGGGTTTGAAATTCGTTTGTTTTTGTTTGCTCCGACAGTCGTTTCTGGGTCTTGGTAGAATCTGGTTGTTTTTTTATTTCTTAGTTTCAATTTTCAATCAATATTTTTTAACGTTAGTGTAAGCGAAACATTTAGTTGCTGCCATTTAATAAATATGGTCAGATTTAGTAACTCTCAGTTGTCATATTGATGGCCGATGTGTTTATTTAGCTGTAGTTTTGTTTGACCGTTGGATCTAGAAAAATCTAAAAGGCGCATCCTCTCTCTCCATCAAGAGTAATGAACAGCGGTCCTGCCACCACGCCGCAGAACAGAAGCTCGTGTGGAACCTTGGATTTCTGGCGTAACAGCGGTGGAAGGTATAAAAATATTACGGCCGCATAACATAGGGGCCTACGCTAAGGTCGGCCAAAATATGGACACCCGAAGGGCCCGGCGCACACAATCCTATCCTATCTGAGCCACATCATAGGGTTTGAAATTCGTTTATTTTTGTTTGCTCCAACAGTCGTTTCTTGGTCCTGGTAGAATCCGGTGTTTTTTTTTTTGCTCTGCCAACAACCGACTCTTCGGAGGACTAAAACAACCGTCTATTACGTAGACAGACTCTTTAAATAATGTCCTTTCCTGTATGGTTTCCCTTTTGCAATCATTCTTAAGGCCATCAACAACCACAAGAAGTAGGCCTGCTCCATGTACGGCAATAATTTCAGGTCTCTGAGAGATGCTTTTGCATGACCGTTAATTGGTTCCATGAGTTTTGCTAAGTTTTGTTGCTTGAGGTTTCATTAAACCGATTAAACGGGTACGAAATTTAGCTGGATGGTATCATCTGCCAGTCGCTGGCAACTGTTCCGGCACCAGCAAGAGAGGAGAGACACCAAGCATTTGCCAGTTGCCACGAATAAATTCTTTTTTTTTTAAGTGCCACGAATAAATTCTTGCCGCAAGCTGTAAGCTACTACGCATGAAATGGCTGTAAGCTGCTATGCATGAAATGGTGATGCACAAACTGGACGGACATTACTGACACCAGTCATATCATTTTCAACCTGATTTTTTTTTGAGTGGATTCAACCTGAAATTTCTTACCATGCTCTCTCTCACGATCTGATCTGCAATCAAGTTTAGTAAAATAAGAAGCTCCAGCTAACTCATCCAATAACTCATCCACAACTGGTAGGGGATACTTATTCTTGACAGTGATAGCATTGAGCTGTCTGTAATCCACACAGAACCTCCATGTCCCATCCTTCTTCTTCACCAACAAAACAGGTGATGCAAAAGGGCTCACACTTGGCTGAATGATTCCACTCTTAAGCATCTCTTGCACTTGTCTCTCAAAAAGGGCGTACCCAGTGCTCAAAAAGGGCGTACCCAGTGCAGAGAGCTCCCGCTCTGTGTGGGGTCTGGAGAAGTGTGTCAGTGGCAAGCCTTACCCTCGCCTATGCAATATGAGGAGACCGCGACTCAAACCCAGGACCTTCCGGTCACAGGCGGTAAGACTCTACCGTTTGCACTTGTCTCTCAATTTCAGTCTTTTGCTGAGGAGCATACTTGTATGGCCTCACATTGACTGGTTGAGCTCCTTGAATTAGAGAGTTTTGGTGATCATAGGCTCTAGAAGGAGGCAACTCAGTTGGCTCTTGAAACAGCTTATCATACTTCTGAATGACCACTGCAAGTTGATCTTGAAAGCCAGACTGGTCAATTACAGATTCCATTAGTGCACTGCTGGGGGAAATAGAGTCAATATCCAAAGGAATGACAGCTTTATTTCCAGCATATGAGTGACAGCTTGTTGTCTTAACAACCCTTTCAATTTCCTAACTGAAATGGGACTAGCTGATGGAACAACATCCTTCACACCACTCAAAGTGATTCTTCTGCCCATGTGTGTGAATTTCATGATTTTCTTTTTCCAATGAAACCACATAGGGCTATGTGCCTCCAACCAATCAGCTCCAATGATCATGTCATAACAGCTTAATGGAATAACTCTGGTGTCATACGTGAAAGTGTGTCCTTGAACATGCCAATGCAATTTTGGAACAACACTATCAGATACCATTGGTGATCCATCAGCAGCAAGAAAATTGAGGGCTTCACAGTCTTTCAAGGAATGTTGCAGCTTAGAAGCCACCTGGGTGCTAATGAAAGTTGCAGCACTCCCAGAATCAACTAAAATGAGAATCTCTTGGGAGCCAATGTGACCTCTCAGTCTCAAAGTCCTGTTCCTTTTCTTCACATCAGCAATGGAACTAGCAACTGGCTTCACTGCCATGACCACCTGACCAGCCTGTGCTTCAGAATCCTCCTCAGAAGAGTTGTAATCCTCATCAGGTTCTACTTGCACTGCCTCAAGCAATTCTTGGATCACATGCAAAGGTATTTGTGTGGGGCATTTATGATTTCTCCCTGTCCACTTCTCCCCACAAGTGAAACAAAGATTGTTAGCTCTTCTATGAGCTCTAAGAGCCAACAGCTTGTCTGAAGTAGGATTGGGCACAGAATTATCAACTGCCTTCCCTTCCTCCTTTCTTTGCCTTGATCTATCTGAGCTGTTACTGAACTTGAACAGAAATCTTCCAGAGTCCCTATGGTCAGACTTGAACTGGGATTTGCTCCTGGCTGCTTCTAAGCCCGTGTTTAGTTGCAAAAAAGATTTCCCAAAAAGTACTACAGTATCCATCACATCGAATCTTGCGATACGTGCATGGAGCATTAAATGTAGACGGAAAAAAAAGCTAATTGCACAGTTTGGTGGGAAATTGCGAGATTTAACGTTTTGAGCCTAATTAGTCCATGATTGAACACTAATTGCCAAATAAAACGAAAGTGCTACAGTAGCCAATTTCCAAACTTCAGCCAACTAAACACGGGCTAACTCAGCTTCCTGCAGTAAGGCCAGAGTACCTGCTGTCTCTAAGTTGGGTGGCCTATGCAATGTGATGGGAGCTCTGATTTCCTCATTCAATCCTCCCAAAAACCGAGTGACAAAGAAGACATCATCATAAGAAGGATTGTACAACAAAATACTGCCAATTGCTCAAAGCTCTTCTGATAATCTGCTACAGAGCCTGTTTGACGAAGGTTCTCCAGTTGCTTCATGTGCAAGGGGTACTGATCTTTGTCAAAGTGGGCACAAACCGCTGTATGCATAGCCTCCCAATTCTGAAGCCGTCCTCTCAACTGAGCAGTCTGAAGCCAAAGAGCTGCTGAGCCGATGAAATTCAAGGTAGCAAATCTTGTCTTCATTGCTTCTGACACCCCATAGATCTCAAAGTACACCTCGCACTGCTCACGCCATAGCCTTGGATTGACACCATCGAACTTGGGGAAATCCATCTTGGGCGTGGATCCGGCATGATATGTATGAGAATGCGAACCAGGAACAAGATTTGCAATATGAACAGAGAGATCTGGAATCGTACCCTGGGTGTTAATCGGCGGAGGGTCGGTTCCCGGAATCGGACCGAGAATCCCTCTGCCCGCGCCGTGCCCGTTGGGCTGTTCCTGAGAGGAAGCAGACGGGTGCTCCCCTGGCGATGGAGCGCGGTTGAGGTCGACGCTCCCAGCAATCCAGCCTGCCGGTGGAGGCGGTGGTGGAGTTGGGTTCGGCGTCTTCTCCAAGTGCGTGATCCTCGCCGCCGTCTCCGTTGTCTTGGTGAGCAACGAACCGAGCGAGGTGTCGGTGGTGGCTCGCCAGGCCTCGAACTCCGTCATCTTGTCGAGCATCTGCTGCGTCATAAGCGTCAGGTTGTCGACGTTGTTCGCCATCTTCGCCTGCAACGATGGAGCTCTCTTCTTCGGCGCCAGACCGGATTCAGCGACCAGATAATCGGGGAAGAAAAAATTCCGCCGAGGATGATGGCTCTAGTACCAATTTGTCACGAACTAGCACGGATTTGGAGGGATTGAGGCAGAATCCGGGGTAGGGTAGCAAGAATTTGAGGGAGCCGAAGAGCAAGAACAGCAAGAACAGGGGGCGTGCGGGATAGAGGATTGGGGAAACAATTCGGAGTTCTGTTATTCGATAACCGTTTCAGCTACAGCTACAAGGCATATATGCCACTCCACCGCCTACCAATCTGGGCCGAGCCCCTACACCTACTCGGGCCAAGCCCAGAACAAGACAACCCGCGAGGCCCAACTTCTCTTAGCCACTTGACTTCTTCCTTCTCCTCCCGCCTTGCTGGTCATGACACCCAAGCCTCTAGGATAGTTGGCCGTCAGTTGGGCCAATAGCCCAACCTCCCAAACATTTACGTTTCTCAGGCCTGCTTGCATAAATACCGCTCGCGTGACAAAGGAAGGAATGACAAACGCGGCACGGGCCCAACCTGACCCAACCCAACAACGCTGCCGGGCCCGGTGCCAGTTGCGGCTGGTTTACGTTACGCGCAGGCGCAGCGTGCCACTTTTTTTTGCCGTCTGCCGCTTTTGCGCTGCCACTCGCTGTCGCCCGGCTGCCGACCCTGGTCCAAACCGCAGCCCCTTTCCTTCCACTTCCGTCTCCGGCTCTCCGCGTGCGAAGCCACCGAGTCAACAGCAGCACCTACCCCGCCTCCTTCCACCTCCCAAAACCCAAGTAGGCTTTGCCCTCGCGGTCGCAGCCAGCGAACCCTAATGGAGATCGCGGAGGCCCTGCAGGCCTACACGGGCCTCACGCCCGGGGCCGCCGCCACCATCCTCGCCCTCATGGTGGCCACCTACCTCCTCGTCTCCTCCCTCTTCGTCGCCCCCGCACCCGCGCCACCTCCCAAGCCGCCCCAGCAGCAGCGCGAGGGGGAGAAGGCACAGGAAGAGAAGGAGGAGGAGGAGCCGATGCCTTTCGTGTACCCGGACCCCGTGGAGGTGGGCGAGGTCACGCTCGAGCAGCTCAGCGCGTACGACGGCAAGGACTCCTCCAAGCAGATCCTCATCGCCATCCGCGGCCAGGTCTACGACGTCTCCCGCGGGAGGTGAGGATTGCACTCCATTCTGCTCCCTCCGATTTGGTCGGGATGCGGCCTGATACGCTGCTCATCGAACAGAATCTGCTACTGTAACATGATTTCGTTTCAAGCGGAAACTGTTTATAAGAATCCAATACGTAGTGCTAATTGCACAAACTAGTTAATAGTTATGAGGTGGCAATGGCTGATCTACGTTTGACGGTGAGATGGTCTGCATTAAGGTGAAGAGCTTGAGCTGCTGTGTGTAGTTATTAGGTGGATTGTGATTTGCCAAACTAGTGACGCGAATGGTCCATTTGATCCAGAAACTGTAAGGCATTAGTCTGATATAAAAAACACCATGAGGCCTGAGCTTATATTAATTCAAATGCGGAGCAGGCGCAGACATATAACTATATTGGGTGCTACTTAGACCTGTGAGTTATGGTTTATTAGTACATCATGTGCCTGAGCACATGCTCAAATGGTTTGGTTTAACTAGAAAATGAGATGCAGATATTATGATATTATGTCAACGGTGAGTATTGTAGGCTGTAGCTCAATTTTTGTTATGGAATGACATACAGAGATGCACCAGTATCTAGGATTCTAGGTTAGATGTTTCATGTTTGGTGAGATATATGCACCAGAATCTAGGTTAGAGCATCTCCACCAGACCTCTTATATTGCATCTCCTATAAATTGCTTCAAGAGAGTACCCTAAAATCAAGTTAGGATATAGGAGATTATTGCTTCCGCAGATTACCTAAAATTTGTCTCCTATATTTCTTTTAGGGATAGGGGAGACCGGAGAGGGGTTGTCTCCTTTATTTAGGAGAGAGGGTGCTTCTTTTAGGAGATCTCTTAAAAATTATAGGTATAGGAGATGAAATAGGAGATTTGCTGGTGGATATGCTCGATCTTTCATTTTGATGTAAAATATTTTATCAGGTCCAGTATAGCTATATTCTAAAATTAGTCAAGTATTAAATCTAGTACATTAGTTTCCTTGATTGTAATACTCAGTGGATAGATATTTAGCGTTCATCTTATGGAAGCTATCAGTTTAGAATTTAACCTATAGTGCAATGTTAGGGAGGACAACACCTTGTTTAGCTTCATTATAGTGAAATCGGAATTGTAAAACAAAAAAAAAAGTTTTATGCTTCCTTGTCTGGCTGAACTATTTCTAGCAGCTCTGAAGCTAAACTCCCTTGTTTACTTAAGGGCTATCTGGTTTCTGTACCTTATAATATTTTGATGAAGTTTTCATTTGGACTCCAATTGATGCTTTCTTCTGAAATTACTGGGTCCAAACACCATCATATTTAGTTTACACTGCATTTTAGTTTTGTATCCGTTGCTATGTGTCGGATACCATAAAAAGGGGTACCCTAAACAAGAACCGAAAAGATTGCTTAGACCTTACAAATATCAAAGCCGAAGGACAACCACGGGGCCTCGGCCGATTCTCCGATTCGCCCCGCCGAGGCCCTCTCGCCGAGGCCGATTCTCGCCGAGGCCCTCTCACCGAGGCCGATTCTCCGATTCGCCCCGCCGAGGCCCTCTCGCCGAGGCCGATTCTCCGATTCGCCCCGCCGAGGCCCTCTCGCCGAGGCCGATTCTCGCCGAGGCCCTCTCACCGAGGCCGATTCTCCGATTCGCCCCGCCGAGGCCCTCTCGCCTCGGCCGATTCTCCGATTCGCCCCGCCGAGGCCCTCTCGCCGAGGCCGAGTCTCCGATTCGCCCCGCCGAGGCCCTCTCGCCGAGGCAGTCCCTCTGGCAGGTTGTCCCATCCATTTAATGCGTCTGAATGCATCCGCTACGTCAGCCACGACTGGCAGGGTACAACAACAGGAGCGATGTGACAACGGTCAAATCTCCTTTTTACCATCCCTTACTGACGGTGCAGGGGTTGCCATGCCCTGTGGACACACGTCCCGCATTTTTCCACCTAAACCGGGTACGACGCTGACCATCGAGACCGCCGCATCGCACTCAGGTCACCTCCCAGGCCTCGGCGCGGCCGGCCACAGACACCTGCCAGGCCTCGGCGAACCACCAAGTCAAAAATTCACAAGGCACGGCATGTCACCTACAAAGGAGGCCATGCTGACTAAACGTCAACGAGGACCCCTACGACTTCAACAGCCTCAGGCATGGCCGGCATGACGCACCAGTGATCAAGTACCAATTGCCATTCCCGACACCTTTGTCTTTGCTACAGAATAGCCCACGATCTCGATCTTCCTTCCTCGCTAAGGCTCCACGTGTAACTCTCTCATGTACTCTGGCTCCTCCTTGTGGCTATAAAAGGAAGCGTACCAAGGCCGCTTTCTAGGGAGAGACCACGCCGCCCTCACGTGCAAACGCACTCACTCAATTCACGCTACGCTCCCACGTCAGCCGAGAGCAACGACTCAAGCAAATCCGCACCACTCCACGCCGAGACACGGGACTAGCTCCTCTCTCACCCAAATTTTGTAACCCTCTACTACAAGCACTTGATTGCAAAGAATACAAGATCGATCTCCTAGATCGGACGTAGGGCACCGATTGCTCAACCAAGATAAGCCTTGTGTCTATTTGCATCACCATCCGGGATTAGGGGCACGCAGTTCGCATTTACTGGCTGGTTGAGGACCCCCCGGTCCAAAACACCGACAGTTGGCGCGCCAGGTAGGGGCCTCTACGTGTTAGCGTGATCGTCCCAACAAGTTTCGGATGGCTGGCCCCATACGTCCACTACATCTCTAAGACGATGATCTCGTTCGGGAGCCGAGAGTTAATGTCTCTAGATACAAGTACGACATGGTACTCCTCCCACCTGAGCCCCCCGCCAACCGACGGCGACATCACGCACCAGCAGCCCAGGCGCGGGCGGCGCCTGAGCCGCCGCTCTCATCACGCTCGCCAGGCGCAACGCGGGCAGGACCACCCCAACACCGCGCGAGCTCATGGTGGCGCACATGCGCGTCACGGCAACCCATGTCCAAATATTGGCACAAGGTCCTGGTTGGGGACCGACTTGCTCGAGCTCGACATGGGCGAACGCCGGCAGACATGCGGCGACGACGCTTGTCGGTATCCCATGCCCATTGTTGGTACAGAGTCCCGGTTGGGGACCTGTCTAGCTTAAGCCTGGGCAGGGGAAAGACGCCGGTGGCACGGAACGACGTCCTGCCATCAAGCTCGGCCCCGCCACCTCCTGAGGAGCCGATTTCTTTCATCACCCCATTCGACATGTAATCGCTATGTGACTATGCCATTCGGTCTCGTAAATGCAGGGGGCCCACGTATCAGTGTGCACCACCTGTGTCTTGGCGAGCACATCGGGCGAACCGTCGAGGCCAGCGTGGGATTTACATCAAGGACAAGTCCAGAAGGCCGGTGACCTCATCGATGACTTGGAAGTTGGTGGCCCGCCCAAGTACTAAAGCACGGGACCTACAAGCTAGCCTACGAGAAGGTCGAAATCCTCACCAACACTTGGAACATAGAATGAGACACGCCGCTTCTACCCTTAAATTCCCAAGCATCATACAATTTTCCTCAAATACAATAAAGAAGCGTTCTTTAATTGTTCTAAATTTTCGAGAACCCCCCCGAGCCCATCTCCAGACGGGTTCGGCGTTCGATGATAACGTGGGGGGGGAGACTCGACTCGCCTGCCTCTACAGAACCGAGCCTCCTCGGGAGCTAGGGGAACCTCCCCCAAATCCCAAACTCGTCTCGAACTCGACAAATCAATTGCAAAAACCTAAGGACCGAAAGTTCGCCTTGAGGCCAAAAGGCCTACCGAGTCATGAGACAGACCTCGCCTGGGCTCACGGCAACTCCTCACCACCTTTCGCCTGAGGCGACTTAGGCTCCAAGGAAGTTTTTGCAAAGGACTTGTCTAAAAAGAGACAGGGGACACCGCTTTTAGTCGTCTTTTCGAAAAATTTCCTCTGTAAACTCTCTCACAGACTCGACAAATCAATTGTAAAAACCTAAGGACCGAAAGTATGCCTCGAGGCCAAAGGCCGGCCCGAGTCATGAGGCGCCTCGCCTGCAGGCTCGACAACTCCTCACCACCTTTTGCCGAGGGGGTAGCTTGGGCTCCGAGAAGTTTTTGCAAGTGATATGTTCAAACTGAGCAGAAGAGCAAGGGTCGGGAAACATAATAGAAAACGATTAAGATGCATATATACACAAATCTTGAAAAGGCCTCGACGACCACAAACGTTATTTTTAGACAATGATGTACGTCCCTAATCTATTACATGACCCCTTTGGCCCGTGTCGAATCACGGGTCGCCAAATACGTCGACGACGGCGTGGGAGGAGCCACCTCCTCTTGAACAATCGGGCGGGTCTGCCGTGCCGAGGAACTCCCGATCGCCTCTCTCGCTCCGTCAGCAGAGGCTCGGGGCTCTTCTTGCAAACTTGCGGGGACCCAACCGACCAAGACTCGCACTCGGGGGCTCGGCAAACGCAATAAACTCCTCGCTCATCAGCAGAACAAAGCCCCGGAGGAGTAAATCCACTCTCCGGTAGGCCTCGGGAACTACACCGGCCGAATGCCACAAGCACCCACCGGAACCACGAGAACAAAACACAATCCCGACGGAGCACCGCAAGCCAAATCTCGATAAACCCTCGTGGAGAGTGCTCAGACTCCCTCGAGGCTCGGGGCTCTTGCTTGATACCATAAAAAGGGTACCCTAAGCAAGAACCGAAAAGATTGCTTAGACCTTACAAATATCAAAGCCGAAGGACAACCACGGGGCCTCGGCCGATTCTCCGATTCGCCCGCCGAGGCCCTCTCTCGCCGAGGTCGATTCTCGCCGAGGCCCTCTCACCGAGGCCGATTCTCCGATTCGCCCCGCCGCCGAGGCCCTCTCGCCGAGGCGCCCCTCCGCAGTTGTCCCATCCATTTAATGCGTCGAATGCATCCGCTTCACGCCACCCACGATCGGCGTGGTATGAAGAACAGAGCGATGTGACAACGGTCAAATCTCCTTTTACCATCCTTTTGCCGACGGTGCGGGGTTGCCATGCCCTGCGGACACACGCCCCGCATTTTTCCACCTAAACCGGCACGACGGCACCATCGAGACCGCCAGATCGCACTTTTCGGTCACCTCCCGAGCCCTCGGCAATCAGGCCTCGGCGCGCCCGCCTGACACCGCCAGACCTCGGCGAACCACCAAGTCAAAAATTCACAAGGCACGGCATGTCACCTACAAAGGAGGCCATGCCGACTAAACGTCAACGAGGACCCCTACGACTTCAATGAATTTCGGGCATGGCCGACATGACGCACTTGCCGATCAAGTACCAATTGCCATTCCCGACATCTTTGTCGCTTCACAGAATAGGCCACAAGATCGATCTTCCTTCCTCGCTAAGGCTCCACGTGTAGCTCTCTCATGTACTCCTGGCTCCCTCCTTGTGGCTATAAAAGGAAGCAGCCAGGGCTGTTTCTAGGGGGAGAGACCACGCCGGCCCTCACGCGCAAACGCACTCACTCAATTCACGCGCACTCCCATGTCAGCCGAGAGCAACGACTCAAGCAATCCGCACCACTCCACGCCGAGACCAGGACTAGCTCCTCTCTCACCCAACTTGTAACCCCTACTACAAGCACTTCGCAAAGAATACAAGATCGATCTCCTAGATCGGAAGTAGGGCACCGATTGCCCGAACCAAGATAAGCCTTGTGTCTCTTTGCATCACCATCCGGATTAGGGGCACGCAGTTCGCATTTATCGGTTGGTTGAGGACCCCGTCCCAAACACCGACACTATGGTATCCTGGTGTACCAAACTATCTTTACTGGTTTTCCCCTTATCTTCTGCAATACCGATATTTACATATCTGATTGCTTTATGCATCTTGTTTCTTCAGTTCCATTTGTTTGCTCGTTGCTGTCTGGGTGATATAGTTTATCATGTGCCATCTCACCCCTTTCAGCCCCACATTTTTCTAGAGTGTAGTACTGTATTAGTGTGTGGAATCATATACTACTGTAGTTTGGTCACTATTGTTTATCCTGTAGCCTGCAATCAGTAGTGTATATAGCTACTGTCGGGTACCCTTGATTCCTTGCTTTGTTTAACTAGGCTGCTGTTTCAACAGGCAACAAGCATATTTGTATTTGTTGAGACTGTCTAGATTCTAGAACTGATACTGTGGTTTTCTAGTGGGGTGTTCTTTTGGCCCATATACTGCCAAGGAATTAGGTATATAGGACTATGTCCTTCAAATAATTTTCCACAAAATGCTTCTGTTTGGATTCCAATCCTCAGGTTTGAGCTTGACACTTGTGCAATGTGTTCTGAACATGCTTCCTACTGGCAGATGACATTTGTACTAAGATTTGTTTATCACTTTATGCACAAGCAGAATGTATGCATCTTACCAGATTCTGCAATTCTCTCTGATAACTATCATACATAGTATATGCTGTGCCCTTGGGCTAGGCTCTGTTGCAATAAGATCATTCGTCATTACCGGATATATATAAAACGTGGTTTTCCCCCCTCGTTCACAGAGCCATGATTGTGTTCCCTGATATTTTTCCCTCAGGCTCTTTTATGGCCCTCAGGGACCATATTCCTTGTTTGCTGGGAGGGATGCAACCCGGGCCCTGGCATTGATGTCATTTGACCCAAATGACCTCACCGGGGATTTGGACGGCCTAAGCCCCGATGAGCTGGAGGTGTTGCAAGATTGGGAGGAAAAATTCAAGGAGAGGTATCCGAGGGTGGGTCACCTTGCCTGTCAAGACGCAGCAGGCAGCGGTCAGAACACTGCTGGGCTTCATCACGAGGAAGGGACGCCTAACTCTACTGGTTTGTCTCGTCCTCTGTTTTACTTGCTGCTGGATATCAGCCTGTAGATCTGATGCGCTCACTTGTGGGTGACGCCGCTGTCGTAATCGGTTGCTGTATATGTATGTGCGATTACTAACTAATGCACCTGCTATGTCCCATTTCTTTTGTGTCTGTAGCGGCTAAGGAAATTTTGAGTGTCAAAAAATTGAGACCTAAGGAACAGCCCATGTTCGGCTCTTGGTTGTATATTCGTGATTTGCATCATGATTCGTGGCTTTGTCGTTCATATACAACAACAACGATCCTGCTGTCAGCTAAAGCACCATAATTTGCGGCCTATGCATAGCCTGATTACTTTTTTAGCGTTGGCGGAAAACAGCATCAGCATGGCGTCCATTCTTTGCCAGATTCCTCACTTTTCCACGCATATGATGCGTCTGCGATTGATGGTTGTTTGAGTCGGCCGGCTCCTTCCGCCCCCAGCTCGCGGCATTGACGCCAAACTGTCTGGCCTGTTTCTTTCTTTTGTTGCTGCTGGAGCCTTGGGGGTTCGTTTCGTTCGTTCGCTCGTTTATCTCCGTTTGTCTCCGTCTTCCTTGCAATCTTGAGCCCTGTAGGGTGTAAATGCAGTGTGATGACCAGCACGACGCAGGGTCGGGTCCGGCTAGCTACACCGTGTCCACTGACTCCCGCCGTGGCTAATAATTGTCTCCTCCTCCGGCTCCGGCGGGGTCCGGGGCGGAGCAGAGGAAGAGCGGGAGGCAGGGGAGCGCACGTCTGCTCACATGGCGTGTCTCAGGGAGCACGGGCCCCGTCTCCCTTCTCTTGGCATCTACTCCTACGTGCCACAGGCGTTGGGCAGCAGGCAGCGCTATTCATCTATCCGTCGCCGAGTCGCGTAGTGTGGCGGCAGGGCTCGGTCCAGTACAATCTGGAGCCCTCTCGCGCCATAATCGACGCTACGTTGCCGATGGATGGAACGGCGCCAGCGCCACCACTCGCTCGGCCGGCTCAACCACCCTCGTCCTCTTCTCCTCCTCTGTTGTGCCCTCGCGCCATAATCCAAGCGGACGGAGACGAAGGCAGTCGCGAGCCAGCCAGAGAGGACTGATTACTGGACACGAGGGCCGATCCGGAGATTTTACACACCATCTGCCCGTGCCTTTCAGTGGCCGACCTACCAGACGTACGTTCTGGGCATCCCTTGCCCTCCGGACCCGCGAATTTTCTCGAAAACTTGCTTGCACTTGGTCCTCCCCCAGCGAGCGACCCAGCGCCAGCTTTTTTTTTATCCAACGTACCTGTATTGATAGTTAAGGATACCATACAGGGACTCGTATGAATATAGATACGTTGACAAAGGATACAGAAGACAGCTGTTCCGAGCTAAAAGCACAAAGGTCCCTAAAAACAAAGAAATTACAAACCATTCCTTGGAACCCCTGCAGCCCAAATCCTCGTCGGAAGCCAAACGCCGCCAACCACAGGTCAACCAGAGCTCCATCGCCAGCAGGCTTTGAGAAGAGCCGCAGTAGACACCCGCCATCTTGGACGAGATGAAGCAAACGCTGAGGATCCATCGGCCGGGGACGCGCCCCAAGCCCCGGTGACCCTGGATGCAGACTCGCCATTGCTGACTGACGCCGCCATGGAACAACCGAGCCTACAGCTCCACTCTCCTACCTTCCGCACAAACCGAAGCTACCTCTCCATCGTCAGAACACAAGGTCAGCGAACTCACCTCCCAACGAGCCGCCGGCACCGGACTCCTGTACAGGGGATCCACAAAGGGAATCCCTCCACGCCCTCGTTGACGGCACCGGAGCGGAGCACCACCAAGACAGGAAAGAGAGCGAGAGGACCTTATTCCTTGACGTCGCTGCCGAAAACCTAAACCTAGATCTACTAGGACCTACATCTCCGACCGGCAGGAGGCCAGCAGTCTCCACCACCTCCCAAAAGCCCGAAGGCCATCGAAGGCGAGGAAGACCGAGCGCTCACTTTCGCCTCTCTGGACTGTAGCAGGACGAGAGAGTTGAGACGATCCGAGTCGTAACCCAGCGCCAGCTTGGTATGGTAGGATCTCGCTCATTTGGTAGATCGACCAGAACATGATGTTGAATTAGGAGGGTCCAGGTTGCCACTGTTGCTACAAAACATCATGGCAGGCGTCGGATGGATGACATTGACGTCTTATAATACTAGATGGCACGGTATGGCTCTGACATTGACGTCTTATAATACTAGGCCTTGTTTAGATCCTATCAAAATTCCAAGTTTTTTCACTCTCTCTTCATCACATTAATTTTTGGACACATGAAGTATTAAATGTAGGTAAAAAAAATAATTAATTACACAGTTTGGTTGTAAATCACGATACAAATCTTTTAAGCCTAGTTAGTCTATGATCAAATAAAATTTGTCAAATACAAACAAAATGTGCTATAGCGTTCGAATTGCAAAAATTTATAATCTAAACGAGGCCTAGATGGGTATACGCAGGTGATTCTCCGAATTTCTCCTAGCAAATCCTGTCGTTTTACACGAGGCGACGAGGCTCTCTGCCTGTCCATGCTGCTCCATGCTAATGTCTCCGCGGTGCATCGTACGATCCACGGACGCGAGCTATAAAATAGCAGGGAAAAAAGTGCCATCTGCTCGTCGCTTATTATTAGGAAGGGATCCTCAACGCCATTTCTCATTGGTATCCCTAGATTCAATTCAATGCTTGGCTGGCCATCTTGCACGGACAGGCTGATTGCCTGACTAGTAGTTTTCGACATAATAATGCATCAAAGTGCACTCTGGACAGCCCTCGGAAACGCTATACCCATATCCGAATCTACGTCAGGGAAGAACCCACAAGTGCCGGTGCCAGCGCCAGCGGATGAAAGCAACGCAGGACCCCTCAACAATCCTAATTGAAAGAGAGAATTCTTTGCGAGCCATTAAAAAAAGATCATAATCCCTGTGAGCCACTCGAAAAGTTCAGCGGTCTTCAACACCACTGCTCCAACTTTTTTTTTTACCCTCCATGCCACTGCCGTCAGATTAGGCCATAACGGTGTCAAACTGTGGGTATGAAAAGTCGAAAATACCTTTAAGTCTAAATGTGTCATTAATTTTTTGAGCATCTTAACGCCTTCAAATGGAAAAACTTAAAACTAGAAAGTTGTAGATCTCGTCGAGATCTATAATTTTCATATAAAAATTATCTTCTTTTAATACCGCAAAAAATATATGATTTTTCTAAGATCATATATTTTTTGCGGTATTAAAAGAAGATATTTTTATATAAAAATTATAGATCTCTACGAGATCTACAACTTTCTAGTTTTGAGTTTTTTCATTTGAAGTCGTTAAGATGCTCAAAAAAAATTAATGACATATTTAGACTTAAGGGTATTTTTGACTTTTTACACCTACAGTTTGACACCGTTAGGGCCTAATATGACGACAGTGGCATGGAGGACAAAAAAAAATAAAAAATTAAAGCAGTGACGCTGAAGACCGCTAAACTTTTCTAATGTCTCACAGGAAATTACGATCTTTTTTAATGCCTCACGAGAAATTTCCCCTAAACGAAAACACGTTCCACGTTCTCAAGAACTCGGGAGCAAAAATGAGTGATCTATTGTAGGAGTACGCTACAGGAGAGGACGTGATTGGCTTGGATTCCCGTCCGTCCATGGTGGACTCGATCGACAAACGCCTTTTGGCTGGTCTTTAGGTGCGGGAGCCCATCACCCTTCGCGCTGCCTTCCTTCGTTGATGCCGGCTTTGGCCTTTGGTATAGTTTTCCAGATGGGCCGGGCACAATGGGCCGGCCAAGGCACGGCCCGAGAAAGCACGGCCCAAGCACGGCCCGGCCCGGCAGCCTGCGTGCCTGGGCTGCCAATTCGGCCCATGGGCCAGCACGGGCACGGCACGGTAAAGAGGCCTGGCCCGCTAACGGCCCGCTATCCAGTGAACTCTCAGCCGTCCGATCCCCCCCTGATGGATTGTGGTCGTTGGATCCAGGGCAACGGTGCCGCCGCGTATATAAGCCGGCCGGCCTCCCCCGCTCGGCCGCTCACAAACCCTAAATCATTTAACGCTCTCCGCCTCTCCCTCCGTCCCTCCTCTCTCTCTGGCTCTCGTAGTCTCGCCTCCGACGACGGTGGCGAAGGCAACGGCCCCTCCCAAGGGCGACAATGACTTCCGTCGTCCCCATGGACCCCGCCTCCTCTCTCCTCCCCGTGGCATGCAGCTCTGAGCTCCGACGATGCGTAACATCCCTTCGCTTCTTCTTTTTTCTCTCTCACTGTCACTAACTCACTCCCTCTTCCGCAGCGCAGATCCGCGGATCCGCTTGGCCGCTAGAGTTCCATTGCAAGCTGCCTTCTTGCCACGGCGTGACGCCTAGGTAAGAAACCCTAACCCTAGCTCCAAGCCTAACCCTAACCCTAGCTCAGATCTCGCTCCGTTCTTGATTTCTTTTCTTGAATCTTGAGTTCTTGACCGATGTTCTTCCTTTCTTCTTCTTTTTGGCGGACGCTTGAGGCCGTGGCAAGTGAGGATGCTGCCCCGCCTCCCTCTGTCTCTGAGGACACGGTGGAGGCTAGTGCCACTGCCATGGCTGATGAGATGGAGAGGGTCCGCGACCTCCCTGGTGATGACGACGACGACGACATGGGCGACGAAGAGGTAGAAGAGCTCTTCGGCCGTGGAGCTGTACCTGGTGGAGCTGGCGCAGAGGACCCCATATTCCTATTTTCTTAACTCTTGTGTGTTTGCTCTGTTTTTGTTTCTCCGGTTCTTTTTTTTTGATAATTTTGATTTCAAATTATGCTTGTTACATCAATCTTGAACTGATGAAGTGCTACTTAAAATGTGTTTAGTGCCTGGACTGGCACGGGCACTGGTGTGCCACCGTACCTGCTGGCACGGCACGGCACGACTTGCACTTCATAGTGCCGTGCCTGAGCTGCCACTTCGGCACGGTGGCACTATCAAGCACGGCACGGTGGGCCGCCGTACCGCATAGTGCCGTGCCTCGCCGTGCCGTGTCTGGCCGTGCCCGTGCCCGTGCCGTGCCGGGCGGCCCATTTGGAAAACTATAGCCTTTGGGAGGCCGGAGCACCGGACAAACATCATTTACGCGATGCATAAGGGCCTCGCTCGTCGTCGGCAACATGGCACCATCAGATCCATGCATGCGATTCTTTTTAATATATATATATATATATATATATATATATATATATATATATATATATATATATATATATATATATGTATGTATATATAAATATAAAAGCCAAGCAAGCACTGTTCAGATCAGTTGTTGCATTGGCTGGTAATGGTATTAGCACGAGTACGGACAGTTCACGGCTAATCATACAGCCCATATCATGAATCATGCATATATATGACCAGTGTTGTGTTGTGTTGTAGTATACATGCATGATATGCATCGTCTCCCAATCATACGAGAGTCAGTAGTGGACCGTGCATATGATGGTCGATGTACATGTACAACCCACCGAGCTACCGCATTATTGGTGGTTGGAGTTGTTCTCGCGCGCCCTGCGTGCAAAGCTGGCCACGGGAGGACGAGCACGGCCACGACGACCTGGCTCCTCGTGCGCAGTTGCACGCACAACGCAACGCCAGGATATTATTTTCACGGGTGGGTAGGTTTTTCGTTTGTTTTATACCCCGTATATGTTGAAATGTATGCATGAAAGAGTGGGCTGGCCATGGCCTAGAAATTTTCTGGTTCGTAGCATTGTTTTCACCAAAGAATTGAATCGTGCAATCCCAATTCACCTATTCTAAACCGAATGTACCTATCAATTAAAGTGCGCTCTGTTAAACTGCATGCACCGATCAATTTATCAAAAAAGAGAAACCTAATCTAACGAGAAAGATTTCTAGGTGGTGGAGTTCTAGAGTTCTGTCCTGTGACTGAGAGAGCGATGACCTGTGTTTTGGCTGTAGACTGTAGTCGTATTTTGCTCGTTTGGTGGTTTATTCCTCCTCTCGACTGGACCGCGATGCACGGCTCCGGCTGCCGGCCGCCGGCCGCCCTTCCTTTCTTCGTCCTGTTAGTTATACACCGAGCGAATTGAAACGCAGAGGACGAAGCAGGAACCGCAGCAAAGTGAATGTCGTGTCCTGGCAACCTAGATTTTGTTAGGTTGGTTGGGTTACTTCATTTGTACGGGGGGTTTGGGGGGGGGTTGTGGAGGTGCTGCTGCTGCGGTGGAGTCGTTGGGATGGAGACCTGCAGTCGTGCAGAGCAGGCCAGCCACGGTCCTTCCATGACCATGCACGGTACCTGCTCGCCTCCAAGGCTCCAACGTACGGCGTTCGTATCGCATCTGCCGATGGAACCAACGGATTCGCAACACGGGGGGAAAAACAGTGCGCGCGATGGTTCGCCTCTGTACTTGCGGCGTATGTTGATGACGTAGGCCAAAGGTGCAATCATCTACGGCTCGGATTAGATCCATACGCTAACTAAAAAGAATACTCGTCCGTGAGAAATTATGGCCCTAATAATGCTCATCATAGTGAGTAGTGACAATGTGTTGAGCCGAATACCTCAGGAATGTGTCAATGACAGTCGCACGGTTTTGCTGCACAC